GTGTGGCGCTCCCCACAGCCTACCAAGCCCTCCGAACGCAGCTCAACGAACGGAGTCGCAGACGTGAGCACGGGTCCAACATTAATCAGGCTGCAGTGGACACGCTCAGAGCCGCACCAACACCCAGACCTGACGAAAAGGCTGGCCTGGTCATAGCCAGTTCATCTACTCAGCCTGAAAAGGCGAAACCAGACGAACGCGTTGACGCAGGAGAGAGTCTCAGCCTAGGACGACAGCTAAGGTCGGGAAGGATACTGTGCACGTCTGAACAAGAACACCAACTTGGGGCAACAGCTGATGCCGATGCGGGGACGGCTAACAGTTTCACCGGACGGACGGACGGACCCTAAAGTCATCTTCACCCACAGGCAGTAGTACGAATTGATTAGCCCCCCTGCCCCATGTCCCCTGGACTGACTGCAGCTGCAAACGGACTAAGAACAAACACCAAAAGGGCGGCTGTTACCTGTCACTAACCGCCGTGGGCCCTACCTGCCACAGACCACCTCCCCCTGCCTCCCGCCTCCCGCAAAACTCACGACCCCCATGAACTCTGTTTGTCACCCACCTATTAGTACTGTGAGGCGGGGTACGATACTCATCTCCGACGACGGAAACTTGTCTGTTTTTGAAACGTCAGGATATTACAATTATGGTTCCCGAGATCGCTCTTCTCATTTATGCCCGGGGACTCGCATCTTTGCGTATTTAGTGAAAGGGGAAGGGTTTTTTCCACTGAGATTTCGCGAAAACGCAGTTTCATCTTAGCAGTCATTTTATTCGACCTTTACCCTACGCAAATGCTCGCATTTAAATCGAGACAGTGTTGTAGGAGTCGTACGGGGTTCAGTTTTTCGTTTATTTTCACGTACACTATGTTTTAACTGCTTGCTGTTCCGCGGTTGGTGTCTGCTGAGTAAGCTTTCTGGGAAATCTACCTTATCTGACAAAAGGTATAGGAATGTATCTGGATCAACTGGCCTGATTTGACTGCAGGCTTGATAAGCCGGTAACCAAGCGATTTAACATACTATTTATTTTTAAATGAACTTGCAGTGCTTTAATCATATATAGTTAGTGTTTCCGAGATGAAGATGTGTATTCGAAATTCATGTGTGTGTGTGTGGCTTAGAAACGTTACCCGCACAAATTTCTAGGTATTGCTGTACGTGGGCGGTTAAGATAAACGGTAGATATGTGGAACTGATGGACGGCTTCTGGTTCACTGAGTTGTATGTTGTGTAAACACGGCTAAGAGAGGTAAAATTCACCGTAGCATCACAAGAGTTCGTGAAATATCCGCAGCCGATGTGATATCGTGCAGAAAACCAAGTGGGGTACATGCGCGAATTCGACCAATCAGGATCAAATACTGTATCAAACAGAGTCTGGATACTCCCTGTATGTCCTCCAGTCCCCTAACCGGTTAATTATTCGTTGCGATGTCGTGGTCTTTGCTCCACCAGGAACTGCTAATCCATTAAGTACCAAACCATCTTCTAACGGTTTGTCCTCTTTTCGATTTTCTTTCCAGCCCAAGGATCGTTTCGAAAGGGCTCCTCCCGTCGTCCTGCCAGCTGACTTCACCGTGGCCGCGTCCCTTGACGAAGATAAGCTGGCCAATCTCGTTCCGGCTACTCCGCTGAGGCATGCAGTTGGTGTAGCGGCATGCGAAGAGCCTTCTCGTAGACGGAGTGTACAGTTTGCTCCGACCGCCGGTTCGTTCG